CCTTTGAGACCACTGCATATAGCAGAGACTAAATGCAAGATTCTTCCTAAAGCACATATGCATGAGCCACCATCTTACTTAGGGGCAGGATTTCTGTGCCTCTTAGACAAGATATCATAAACTAACATATGATGTGGTGACAGGGTTTTGTTTGCTTGTTTGTTTTTGTTTTTTGAGACAGGGTTTCTCTGTAGTTTTGGAGCTTGTCCTGGAACTAGCTCTGTAGACCAGGCTGGCCTCGAACTCACAGAGATCCGCCTCCCTCTGCCTCCCAAGTGCTCCCATTAAAGATGTGCGCCACCACTGCCTGGCAATAGTTTTACTATATCAGACATATCTAAGGAAATCTTTTGTCACTTATCTTAAACAACAAAGAAGCAGACCATGTTTGATCGTCAATTTAAAGTGTAAATAGGGTCTGTTTTATTTCCGGTCTCTGATCCCAGTGATGCCCTGAACAAGCTATCTGCAAAGCAAGGGCTTGATGCCCACTGTTTGAGACGCGATGATTAAAGAACTGCTCTCGTCCTCACAAACAACTAAAAATAGCACGAGAATGTGAAGACAAACAGGTCTCTGAGAACAAAGACAGCCATGCAGAATTTGTCTGCTTTATTTCAATTGTTCCTATGGATGCAAAACGCAGAGGGGAAGATCTGGACGTGAGAAGCTCACTTGTCAGACAGCACACTGGAGAGCTGAAAGACTTAATAATATCTTTTATACGCATCTCCTTTTCACTGGAGAACTCATGAATCCTGAGCTGAAGAAAGCTCGAGCGCCTTTGTCCTGCATAACTAATAAACCCAGACGATGGGCTGGCTCCTCCTTGCTTCACATCAACCTTAGATTTTGGGAAAATATGTTCTCATTGTATGGTGTAGCAGAGGTATTATCTCGTTGGTTCAAATGTCTTCATATCAGTAGGTATATATTTCACAGTGATGAATTTTCTTCGAGGCAGAAAAACCGTATCTAAATACATTGCTATACCAACTTTATTGATTTTCTAGGAACCACTACAAGCAACATCCATCATCTTCCAATATGTCTTAAGTCTGCCAGAACCTCAGTGACCCTGAAGGTTTCATTTACTTTGGGAAGCCTTGGTTTAGGTTTACTCAGGAACACTGTGAGTCAAACATCACTGGACCGACTCTACACGTGGGAAGCATCAGTCCTGGAGAAGCTGTTCTCTCGTGGCCATGAAGGGTCAGTTCCCCTTTTCTAGAAATAGGCTTTTCCAAGCATCAATTCAGAACATCTAGATGTCCCTGGCCAGGTGTTCAGTGTGAAGTGAATGGTCAGTACAGGCCAACCATGCACCCCATTGGTATAAATTCACTTGGCAGACTGGATTTCATAGTAGCTTTTTGTATAGCTCTTTGTGTCCCCCCCTTTAGCCTTTCTTTTTTTTTTCAGTTTTAATTTATCTTTAATGATTCAAGAAAGAAATCATTTAAAAAATCATATGTAAAACTGAGATGAATATCAGGAGACATCACGATGAACTGAACTTTTCCTTTTATTTATTAAAAAAATACCAATCCAAATTCCCACTCCCTCCCCTCCTCCCATTCCCTCCACACACCCTCCTACCCCACCCCCTCCAATCCTAAGAAAGGGCAAGGCACATTGCCCTGTGGGAGGTCCAAAGCCATCCCCACTACATCTAGGCTGAGCAAGGTATACATCCCAAAGAGAATAGGATCCCAAAACGCCAGTATATTCCCCAGACAAATCCCAGTGCCACTGCGAGTGGCCACTCAGTCTGCCCCAGCCATCCAACTGTCAACCACATTCAGAGGGACTAGCTTGGTTCTAACTGAGGGGACCTAAGAGGTGAACGAACAGCCATATGGCCAGATGTCCCACTCTCTAGGACCTCTCCAGCAGGACAAAACCCCAGGCCCCTTCCCCAACTCTCTAGGCTTTAATAGCCAGCCAGCAGGGAGTTTCCTGTGGCTAGGCTTATCCCCCAACCCATCCAACCCCCATCCAAACTACTAGCTACACCCAGTCCCAAACCCACCAATTTGTCTTCAATATCAGTGGAACTCTGAAACACAGTTTGCTCCAATACTGAGGGGACCTAAGAGGTGAGTGAAGAGCCACAGGGCATGGAAGCCCCACTCTCTAGGACCTCCCCAGCAGGAAGAAACCTAGGGCCCCTTCCCAAACTCCTTTGGCTTTTCTAGACAGGCAGCAGGGAGTTTCCTGCTGCTAGGTTTCCCCCAAAACCATCCAGCCCCTATCCAAACAACAAGCTACACCTGGCCCCCTTTAGCCTCTCTTGTCTCCAGTAGCTCATCTGGGTCTGAGGGCCACACTGAATCTGGCTCCTAAAAACAGCCTTGGTTTGGGGATTGTTACCATGCATGCAGCATCTGCAGAAATTTCTGTGACCAATATTAGGCGATGCAATCTTAAAAATCATGCACATTTCAAATACCATCAATAAAGCTGAAACTATCACTGGGAAGGATCTGTTCAAAGGGCTCTTTCAGCTGTAAATTCACATCTTTCCTATAACATGTTACAGATATAAAGGATTTGCCCAGGGGGCTGGAGAGATGGCTCAGAGGTTAAGAGCATTGCCTGCTCTTCCAAAGGTCCTGAGTTCAATTCCCAGCAACCACATGATGGCTCACAACCATCTATAATTGGGTCTGGTGCCCTCTTCTGGCCTGCAGGTATACACACAGACAGAATATTGTGTACATAATATAAATAGATAAATAAATAAAAATTAAAAAAAAAAAGGATTTGCCCAAATCAACTGCCAGAAAGAAATATTTTTCAGGCAGGAACAGTGATTGTTCACTTATCTTAGTTCAAGGTGTTTTCAACTAAACACCACAGTGGCTTTTTCCACTACGGCATGGGATCTTGGGATTTGGGGTGCGGGCTTTTTCTCTTTTGTTTACTTGTTGCACTGGTGACATCATGCTAGGGTGGAGGTCAGAGGACAGCTGTCTTCCCCTTCAGCACCTGGGTTCCAGGTGTGAGGTTGACAGCAAGCACCGCTACCTACCGAGCTGTCACGCTGCCCTTATCTCTCACTTCAAACTTCATTGCCTAGCATACAGTTTATTGATTGTTAAATTAAATTTATTAAAAAGGTGAATCCGAACTAAAATCAATAAAGGAGATAAGAATCAATTTAAAGCCAGAAAACAACTAAATCTAATTATAAAACTGAAGGCTAGAAATTCAGGTCCATATCCCAAGGCTGCATACAGCAGATCAAAATTGTTTAGATGAAATTATTGATGATGGCCCAGCAGCTACTCAATAAGCAATAAACTGAGGGGATAGCTCTCATACTGAACTATGCTGTCCAATTCTGTGATCCAAAATGCAGCTATGAAAATATAAATTAATTACAATTAAATAGAGTTTAACATTCAGCTCCTCGGTTATTTTAGTCACATTTAAAATACTTACCAGCCACAGGTTGCTGGTGTCTAACATACTAGGCAGCATAGAAGAATTTTCTGATTATCACAGAATGTTCTCCTGGACATTCTTAATTACTGGGGATAATCACTACTATTACTCCCTATAATTTTATGAAGCAGGAGGAACAGGGTGGTAAGAAAGGGAAATGAAGTGCAAACATTGATTAAGTCTGATTGCTTTGTGCTGAGCACTCGAAATATATAATTTTATACATGCCTTACATCTGTAGTTATGAGGCAAGTCCTATCAATATCCCCACTTTAAGTCCAAGGCCACTCTGCTTCGGTAGATGAAGTCAGTCACCATATTTATCTGTTCAGTGCAGAGCTTAGATGAGTCTCCACTCGAGTCCCCTAAATGCAGAGTCTGAGCCCATCTGTGAATCTGCAGTTACTCAGGAGCTTGACATGATAAGGGCCAGAGGGAACAGTAACTACAGTGGTGTTTCTAATACCACACACATGTCGGAAGTATGTGAGGTGCCTCATGAGATACCTGAGCCCTGATCCAGAGCAACAGGAATGGAAGCAGGATGGCACCTTTGGGATGCAGCTGGTGCTTTTGATATTATACTCAAGTTGAGGATGGCAGACCAGAAGACAGGAAATGCTGAACATGCTATTGACAACTCTGAGACAAAAGCCTGGATAACAGTGTTGCCAGGGTAACGACACTAGTTTAGGAAACAATGATTGGCAACATTCTGCTGGTTCTTGGTGGCTAATATCTGTTCTCCTAAGGCCAGGAAGTTTTGAGTTCACATGACAGAATTTGGGATGTGATAATACAAACTTGTAAAATGAATATGTAATTATAACATTTTTCTGCCTTTGAGACATTTGCCATTTACAGTGAAAGATTTTCTTCCTAGAAGAACAATGCTTTCTGAAGCGATCACTCCACTTAGCAGGGGGAAACAGAGAGGACTAAGATAGTAGGACATTTGCAATTGCCAAGGAGGAAGCATAGGATGGTCTCGTGGAACTCTAAGATAAAAGCAAGGTGTTTGTTTTCCCTGAACCTCAGTTTTATCATCTTAAATAGGGATGATGACTCTGAAGGCATTCTCCAGCTAAGATCTGTGAAGAGATTAAAGTCACCTGTCCAACAAATTGAGCTCTCTGCAGCATGCTGTATTGTGACATTGTTGCGCAACCTGAACAAGCCTGAGAAAAGAAACTTCTAGAATTTGCCTTCCCCAAAACTCTAGCTAATCTACACATTCCATGCCAAGAGACAACAAGAGTGTGTGTTGAAACCTAGCCTTTTATTTGCCTCATTAAGAATTTTTCAAGGCTTGAGGCTTGCGAGCCAAGAATGTCTGCAGGACAGAAACCCTTGACACTGCCTTTCTTTAATGGCGACAACAGGGCTGGCCCCACCCTTCAGTTTTACAGCTGCATATCAGCCAACAACTTACTTTTACATCTCTTATCCTAGATTTCCTTTAATGGAATTTTAGGTAGCAAGAGTGGTTAGCCAAAGCAAGACAGAAGCCATATCAGTAATCAGTAGTAAGCCATATATCCATGTCTTACCTTACGCTTGTTTGTCGGACACACATAGAGATAGCTCAGAATTGTCTTCAAGCCCACTTTATCATTCAGCTTTTCATAGGTTGTCCCATAATCGGTTGACCTGTAATTCAAAAGATGCTTTAATGATCGCAGCAGTATACGTCACTTGGCTGCTTGTCAGTGTAATGCATGTTTTACATAGTAGAATGGCTCTCAGGAGGCTTCTAAATGATTCATGCAGTATATAATGACGCTTAATTATGTACACAGTTGCATCATGTGAGTGGTTAACATTTGCATTTAAATTGATTTGGTAAAAATTAAAACGCCATCCCTCGACTGCTCCTTAAAGAACGCACTTTGCATAATGGATGAGATTAATTCAAAAAGATTAAGAGATGAGGACGCCCTTTGAATTGGCCATAAAAATAAAAGCATTTTTAGTTAAATATGACATTTCTATACTTTTGCTTTCTCTCTCACACAGTGTAAAATCAGGGTGTCCAGATTTGTCTACAACTCATGTTTTCATTCATGGTCATAGAATATAAGGGTTGCTAGTTCCCTCCAAGGTCATTTGGTCTTAGTCTCTGTGCATTATTTAAGAGCAAGGAAAATGTCCTCAGAAAGGCAAAATTTCACATCCTCCTTGACGCCCTTTCCTAGTCCTAAGCTACATGACTTAAAAGGCATCAACTCTGGGCCCTGAGGTTCTTGTAAAGTCCTGTCAGTATTTAACCATTTATCAACAAGCTATTAATTCAGAGAAAATAAAACAGACTGAATCATCTTTTTAAGGAAGGTCGACCTTGCAGCCTACAGCTCTAACTCCGTGGACTTCTCATAGATGGTACAGTCCAGGAGGGGCTATCAGAGTTCAAATAAAGTGATCAATAACAGCTAAATGATCCATGCAAACAGAAGAGCTGATAAATGGGCTATTGAAAAATTTAATCCAGGTTCTTTCCCTCTGCTCTTGGTTGTTTTAATTTTACCTCAGCTTTTAAAAAATCATTATTGAAGAATATAGATCTATAATTTCTTCTCAGCCTCTTTTTCTCACAAAGGAAGCTTACAGTGAAATCCATTGTATCATCTATATTTGTGGAGTTAATAAAATGGAGCAGACTCTGTACTCAGTTGCAGGATGTAATATGGGGCTTTCACAAGCCTTCTAACTCACCCAGATAACAACAAAATAGTGGGTATAATGTGTTGCGCACAATGATCAAAATACATATTAATAATACTCAGAGAGCAAAGTTGGGTTAATTTGAATCATTTTAATTCATTTTTGATGATGATGACTCACAAACATCTCTGAGACATAGTAAGTGAAAGTGAAGAACGACGGATTAAGTGCCTCGTTCTCTTACGTTTAGAGCCAACTCTGGGCAGTAGGGAGATGCTCAATCAGGAAAGTGTTTGCCAATCACTTAACTCTAGCACCCATGCAAAGTCAGGTCCTGGGTTACAGGCAGATCCCAGGAGATCCTGTCTATCCAGCATAGATGAAATTAGTTCCACATTCAGTTAGAGACCCTGCCTCAAAATATAAAGTAGAGGCAGACAGAGAAAAACACCTACTATTAACTCCTGGCTTCTACACACTCACACATGCATGCACACACCTGATTACATGCATGGAAACACATGCATAGACCACACAAACCCACACAAAAACAGCAAGATGGAAAGCAATTGAGAAGACACTAGGTGCTGCTCTCTGGCCTTCACGTGAACACACATGTATGTGTACACTCACCACACACAAAGAGTGTACTCCAGACAAGGCACTAGATCCATAAACCTGTCGAAAGGTGTTACTAGAATAAGAGGTTTTTTGACTTGGTATACAGGATAGTTCATCAGAAAATGTTACACAAATGATGAGTACCAAAAATCCAGGACTTTGTTTTTTTATTTTTTTTTTGCTGTTGTTTATATTTTTTTAGTTGTTGAAAAAATTTCTGCCTCCTCCCCGTTTCCCATTTCCCTCCCCCTCCTCCCACACATTGTCCCCTCCCCCCACTCCCCTCCTCCTCTACCCACACCTCTCCCCATCCCCCCACTCCATTCCCCCTCCCTCTGGAGACTGAAGAGCAGTCCAGATTCCCTGCCCTGCAGGAAGTCCAAGGTCCTCCCACTTCTATCCAGGTCCAGGAAGGTAGGGTTTAGATAGCACACCACAGCATGGAGGAATGAGCATTGAACAAAACTACTTGAAAAATATTGGACACTTTCAAAGGAGACGATTTAGAAAGGGGAAGTAGGCAAAATCTCAGGGACTAGAAATGAGCCTGCACAAACACAGTACATAACTGGTTTACTCAGGACCAGTATCCAGACCTCCACAGGCCGACAGGAATCCTCTTGACAACAAAGAATGCCACAATAGGCTTCAGAATTCATTTACCAAAAAAAAAAAAAGAAAGAAAGAAAGAAAGAAAAGAAAAGAAAAAAGAAAGAAAGAAAAGAAAAAAAGTGAAAAAATGTCTTGTTATATTTCTCTCATACCAATGATTTTTCTCCTGAAGTTCCCACTCTATTATAAGACATGTGCTATTATTTTCAAAGAAATATTTAAGATTTCTTTCCTCACCCAGACCATGATCAATATTTAGATTTTCAATTATTTCCCTAGTTATCTTCAACTGGCATTTCTCCACTATGACTTCCTTGTCACCTAGATTTTGTTAGCGTGTTTCAACTCTGTATTTGTGTCTGTCTGCTTGTGTGCATGCACACACAAGTGCATATGAGTGTTTTCACGTTTAAATATTATCCTAACATGAGATGTAATGAAGTGAGTAGCTCAGATTTATGTTGGCAAAATTCAGGAAAAAAATATATATATGTTGTTATTTATTGTCAGAGAAATACTTCATGTTCAAGAACAAAGAATAGAATCTTTCTGGGAGCTGGTGAGAAAGATGAAATGTGTAAATGTTAGTACATTAGTAAGTCTCACCTATTGACGATTGAAAATATAAAACTTCTCTGATGATGTAAAAGAGACTCAAATATTCTAACCCTAACCCTAAAATACTGGAAGCTTAGAGAGGTGGTAGTGTACAATGGGTGGAACAAAGAGGTTTTTTTTAAAAAAATAATAATAATATCTGAACCAAAACATTCTACAACAGCATATAGAAAGTTCCTCTGCCAAAGCACATGCAGGTGCTTATGTTTGTGTGCACAAGTGTATGCATATATGTGTTCCTCTATGAGCGTGTATGTGCATTTGCCTGGGTATGTGTGTTGTAGTAAGGAGCGGCGGGGCTGCGTCCCCGGCACCCAGCCGCCCACATGGCTAGCTTTAGCTTATGCCCCTAAATAATTACACAGAAACTGTATTCTTTTAAACACCGCTTGGCCCCTTAGTTTCAGCCTTTTAACCCATTTCTATTAATCTATGTAGCACCACAAGGTGCGCTTACCGGGGAGATTCTAGCCTATGTCTGTCTGGAGTGGAAGAATCATGGCGACTCCTGACTCAGCTTCTTCCTCCCAGCCTTCTGTTCTGTTTACTCCTCCCACCTATGTTTTAACCTATGAGGACCAAGCAGTTTCTTTATTGCTTAACCAATGAAATCAACAGATTGATATAGGACACTCCCACATCACTTCCCCTTTTTCTGTTTAAACAAAAAAAGGAAGGCTTTAACTTTAACAAAGCAAAATTACATATAGCAAAAACAGTTATCAAGCAAGAATTACAGTTACAATATTTATATCTATTTTATCTTTTATCATAACTAAGGAAAACTATAACTATATATTCATTCTTCAACTCCATCAAAGACTCCAGAAGGATATAATACTACCTAAGTAAACAAGAAATAAGAAAACTCTAAAAATGACAGAGACATCTCGCTGAGTGGTGCCCCACGTGGGGCGCCAATTGTATCCGCGCAAAATAAATGCAATGCAGATATCAAAGAATATTTACCACTTTAATGATAAACTTACAGAACCAGAGTTCCATCGTAGTACAGGAGGTAGGGAGGAAAAAAGGGCCGAGCCGCCTCCCCGCGCGCCCATTTATTGGCAGGCATTCGCCAGAGCCAAACCCCGCCCCCTAAAGGGGCTGTATTAACCCTACATATGTGCGTGTATGCTATGCATTTTTGCATGTGCATATTAATGCCTGGTATTTGTATGTACATGTGTTTTCATGTGTGTGCATGTATATAAGTGTGGGAATATTTATATGTTTCTAACTGGTACCTTAACATGGCAAGGTGTAATGAAGGAGCAGCACATATTTACATTAGCAACATTGTTCAAGATTTATAATGCTTTATTGAGCACGTTTTTCGTTATTATATCTCCTCTCCATGAACCTGGATCTTCTAAGGTATCTGGTATTATTCTTTTGTGATTTCTATCAACTTGCTTACCAAAATCTCAAAAACAGATCCAACATTTGCCAATTTTCCATTCCCAGAAGTCCAGATGGTCTGAATATTATGGATCTTATAACAATGAACTGATCTAAAAAATAAATGGTAATATATTTTCACATTCAAATGTATAGAGTTTTATCATATGTTTTGGAAATATAATGAAAGTGATGGCATCATAGATGGAGCTCCCATTAGGAAGGCAGTACAGAAGTGAAAGTACTAAGCACTTGAAACCCAACTGGCATGTTGTCACCACACTACTGTCTCAATTATTGTTCCTCCAGCTTTACCACCATGGTGTCTCAGCTAGACACACTCTGGTTTTCCTCACAGATCAAGAAAGATTTAGGGTGGACACAGCTAAGGTCCTCAAAAACTTTGTTCAAGCACCAAGATCACGGCAGGTGACGTTGGATCAATGTCTCTGCAGAGCACTTTAAACACAAGCAGAGAGATAGTGACTGCCTGGTTCTGTGTCCCAGAACAAGATCCCTGGTGCTCATAAGATTCACAATATGTCTTCTTGATAGAGACATGGAAGCAGGAGTTCCCTAAAAGGATGGACTTGAAATAAACAGGAGAGGCAGACAGGCTCAGCAGCAAATTGATGGCGAGCCAATGTAGCAGTTGTTAAATTTGTGAAACGGTGTGTCTGAAATGGGAAAAATGGGACAATGTTCAGAGTCAAAACGCTGGGAAATGCTTGAGTAAG